TTTCTATCTTTCTATCTTTCTATCTTTCTATCTTTCTATCATCATCATCATCATCATCATCATCATCATCATCATCATCTATCTATCATCTATCCAATATCATTTTTTGCCCCTTTAGCCAAAGAATTACAGAAAGAGAAAAGAAGAAAAATGCTTTAGGCACCTCTTTAAAAGCCTGCCTTACTTTCCCTCTGAATCAGAATCAGGCAGCCTCATCTGTGGCTATATATCACCCTGCTGAAACAAAATCATCCCTCCAGCCCATTTTCTATCGATAGAAGCCACCCTCTTGTCTGAGTTTTGATTATCTGACACCCCGATCCTTCTCATCTGCGGCTAATCCAGAGGCTGAAAGTGTGTGGCTCATTGTGAGTTCTTTAAGCAACTCTGAAGGAGCAGTTCGGAAACAAGGAGACACTTACCCCTGAGAGACCCAGGGAAGGCTGTGGAAAATGGGTTGCCAAAAGCAATGGGTGGTGAGGTGGTCTTGGTGTTCTTCAGGTATGGAAGCAAATGCTGTTACTTTGGGTGGTGTCTTCTTCTCTCGGGCAGCTTTGCTCTTGGACTTCACAGTGTCTTTGGAGAACATGGGTCCTTCTGCCCCACTTTATAAGCCGGTGGTCTTGGCTTGGGGGCCAATGAGGGGAGGGAACGAGGCACCCCCCAAGACTACCCCCCTGATCTCAGATGACATCCCTCCTTTCTCCGTTCCAACCCAAAACTCCAGCTGAAGAGAGAAAGGAGCAGAAAGGATGAGGGTCGGAGGTTAAGGGAGGGGTTACAGTCTACTTTTGTCATTTCAATTCCAAAAGGGGAGATGGCCTCGCTGGCTGGTTGGCTGGTTGCGGGTGGAGGGGGGCTGGCAGGCAGAGGAGAGGGCTGGAAAGACAAAAGGACCCTTCACTCTGACCAAACCGGCTCAAACCAGGTTGGGTTGCTTGATCCGGAATGGGGAGCGAGCCATCGAAAACATTCATTCAGCCCAGCAAATCAGCAGGCAAAGCCAACATATTAACCGCAGTCAGCTTTCCCCTGCTCTACCCACCCACCCCTCTCTTGGTCTGTAACTCTGCCTCAAATATTTTATTTAAAAGTTCCTCCACAATCAACCTCTAAAAAAAGAAAAAAGGACAATCAATCAATATCCACCCGGAAGAAGAAGAAAGTTCTACTAAAGAACAGCAGCAGCCCTGTTTCCCACCAAGGGCCCTTCTGGAGAGCTTTGGCAACCAGGATGGAGAGAACCAGTCCCTGTCTCCCTAGGCTTTAGCAATCCAAGCAAGAGTGCTCCTGAATAAGCAGGTTCATTGACGTTCTGAAAAATGCCCAGCCAGGTCTGTTAGACTGCAGCAAATTGCCAGACGAGATGTGGCTGGGGAAGAGATGAACCTTCTGTCAGATTCAAGAGCAACTCCTACTTTTCTGCCCAGGGAAAATGGGTTCTTTGTTGACGGGGATGTTCTCATATACCCTCCTTCAGTTTGTTCGCCTCTGAGTAGCTGGCAAGGCTTCCTTGTTATATAGGACAAAAAACCAGGAGGGGTTTGCTAGCCTCCTTCCTAACGAATTTTATTAAGACATACAAGTTTTCAGGAGCTACAGCCCTGCATCCAGTGGAGTGAGTTGTGGCACACAAAAGCTTCTGCCTTTGAATAAAATGTGTTAGTCAGAAGAGGTGCTACCGGACACTTCCTGATTTTTTCCCCTTGCTATGAGTATCACTGCCTCGGATTCAGTATTGCGGGCAGCATGAATCAGTGGCTCCTTCACAATTTGCCAAGGGTTCTGCAGGAAATACAGACCGGAGGGGGCTGAGAGACCAGGGAGTAGAAGGCAGCTTTCAGCAAGGAGGAATTGCTAGCATAATTGGGCATTGGTCACGGGCTGTGGAAGATCCCAGAGATGACCTTGGAGAAAGTACGCAGAGACCGTTGGCAAAATACAAGCTCTGTCCAGGAAAACAGGAAAGCGTAGGAAAGAAACTCAAGATTGCCCAAACTTGAATCTCTTTGGCAGTGGTTCTTAAACTCACATCATTCTGGGATCTCCCCCTCAATTTCCCGGTCTAGCCTACAGTCCTAAGAATGCCTAGTGGCCTCCCATCCAAGGATTAACCAGGTCTGAACCTACTTATGTTTTCTAAGATCAGCCAAGATTGGTTAAGGGTTGCTGCTTGTTGTGATTGATTTGCAGAGAAGGGGAGCAACTCAGGAGGGGTGATGCTGGAAATGGGATGGACTCAAAAAGAGTTCCACCTACTATGGACATCTTGGCTTCCATGAAAAATCTGGACCTGTCATGGTTGCAACAGAACTGGGAGAAATGCTAACTGGTGCCCTTGGGAGATTGGACTACAACCCCCATAAATGCAAGTGGTTCCTTGTGGTGGGTATTGTAGTAGAAGCACCATCTGAAGGGCACCAGGTGGTCAACCTTTGAAGACGAACCTCTTGTTTTGATCTGGATATTGTCTCTCAGTAGAACCTCCAGTGCAGTGTTTCTCAACCTTGGCAACTTGAAGATGTGTGGACTTCAACTCCCAGAATTCCCCCACCAGCAGGGGCTGCTGGGGCGATTTTTGGGGTTAAGTCCACCCAACTTCAAATTGCTAAGGGTGAGGAAAAACGCAAT